AAAAAAAATAGTAATAAGAAAGAAAAGATTTGAAATGACACAAAATTTCACTGAACAAAACCTCATGGCAACAAAGGTCCACAGGGCTATTGTTAACCTTGGGTGAGACAGTCTGTGGTCCTGGTCTTGTGTTTAGTCTTAGCAGTCTGTTTTATTTTATTTTATTTTTTTTTGTGGAACCGGGGATTGAACTCAGGCCCTTGTGCTTGCCAGGGAAGTACTTATTCCACTGAGCCATCTCCCCAGCCCTTTTAGCAGTCTTTGTGGCTAGATTTACACACTTCCCTGAGGGATGGGTGGAGGCTTGGCATGACTGGCATCACACTTTGGAGATTTTCCTGATTGCACGAGGGGTGGCCCATCCTCTCCCACCCACTATCAAGAAAGCTATAAGACTGAAAGTTATTGTGATCTAATTTATACAGCAGAAAACTCACCATTTTCAAATATGCTATTTGGTGGCTTTAAGTGTATTCCGTAGTTATGAAATAACCACTGCTATGGAATTCCAGAGTGCTTTCATCACCTCCCACAAACCCATGCTTGCTAAGCAGTACACTGCATTCGCCCTGCCTTCTAGCCTTTGACCTCTGGTCTGCTTTCTGTCTCCATGGATATTGCTTATAAACATAGCCATACAGTGTTAGTCCTTCCTGACTGGTTTCTTTCGCCTGGCATAATGTTTCTGAATTCTTTCATGTAGTAGCATGTATCAGTACTTCATTCTTTTTTATAACAACATCATATTCCGTGGAATAGACAGGTTAGCTTTTATGTATCCGTTCATCAATTGTGATGCATTTGGAAGTAATCTCTACACTTAGCAATCTTTCTCATAAAATAAACGGATTAAAATATTTTGTTGATTTTATTTCAGTTAATCCTCCTCAGGACTTTGAGATAGTGGATCCCGGGTATTTAGGTTATCTCTATTTTCAATGGCAACCTCCCCTGGCTGTGGATAATCTTAAGGAATGTACAATAGAATATGAATTAAAATACCGAAATGTTGATGATGAAAGATGGAAGGTAAGTACAAAGTACTTACAATGTCAAAGTGATCATTAAGTGTTTTCTTTTGATTCTCAACTTCACAGTCCACTCTAAATTTCATATCTTAATGTTCTAATTAGTATATAGGAAGCTGCACATCTACTTTTCTGTCCTGTGCATTCTGTTAAATATATTTTCAGCTCATCCAGTACTAAGATTATTTATTATTGGAAATTCAAGGAAAAAACTTGGCCCCATAGAATATGCATTGGAAAAGCATTTTATGTATTTTACCATATTTTGTAGTTACTTATTTCTTTTTGTTGTTGTTGTTCTAACAAGAAACTTCAGGCTAGGTAATGTATAAAGAAAAAAAGTTTGCTTAGCTCATATTTTTAGAGGCTGAAAAGCCAATCTTCTGTGTCCCATTTGTTCAGCCTCTAGGAAGCCTCAGGACAGATAGCATCCTAGTGGGAGTGAATAGAGGAAGAAATCTCTTGACAGGAAGTCAGAGGACAGCTTTTATAGAAAGCTGCTCTTGCAGTACCATTACTAATCGATGCCACTCAGAGCCACATTAATTCCTCCTGAGAGCGCTGCCCCAGCGAGCAACTTGCCTGCCCTTGAGCCCCACCTCTTTAAGGTCCAATCACCGGCCAACATTGCCGTGCTGAGGACCGGGCTTTGAACACGTGAATCCTTGGGGGGCACACTCAGACAACACTCAATTTCGAGCCCTCACGTATTTAGACATGGAGTTGAGGCGCAGCGGGCAGAAGGTGTCATTAATCTGGGCAGCGCAAGTGCAGGCGTGGAGGATGACCCGGGCTTTTGAGTGTAAAAGATCAGTGCTGGGTACCAGCTCAAGATTCAGAAGAAGAAAAACAAGATCGCCGGGAGGCTGCGAACAGGCAAGTCCAATCTAGTAGTGAGATCCTAATACCCTGTGGACCCTTCCCTAAAATACCAAAAAAAAAAAAAAAAAAAAAAAAAAGAAAAGAAAAGAATTTTTCCTGCTCATTAATTTAGAAAGCAAATAATTGTTGTTGTAGCTATTTGATTGGCCCATTTTTCCCCCTGTACACAACAGTGGAGAAAATGAATGAATCATGTTTTTCAGTACATATAAAATAAATGTTTCTCCTGATTTACATTATTTTAGATGACTTCAATTGAACAGGTATGGGTTGGGAGCATAATATGTTGTGAGGATTATCTTAAAGCACAAAGAATGGTTATTTTCATTCTTTTATTTTTTTGGCAGAACCAGGGATTGAACTCAGGCCCTTGTGCTTACCAGGGAAGCACTTATTCTATTGAGCCATCTCCCCAGCCCTAAGAATGGTTATTTTCAAACTTGACTCTTCAAATCACACGATTTTGCCATTGGGAAGCTACTGATGTGACTGACATAATTAGAAGGGAGAGCCTGTCTGGAAGACGTTTACTGCAAGAATTTAAGACAAAACGTTTTCTTTTTATTCAGTTTGTCCTATTTGGTTCTAAAATAAATGGTGTTTTATTTCTCAGAAAACATAGATATGGGTTGTATATGTACTACTGAACTGTGAGCTTTTTCTCTGTATGGTCAAGTCTTATGTAGCTTTGTGTCTGCCCCACAGAATACTGCAAGGTTCCTTGCAAATATGGTAGTAAGTTCTTAATGAAAGTTTACTGATGGGGCCAGGGAGATGGCTCAGTGGAATAAGCACTTCCCTGGCAAGCGCAAGGGCCTGAGTTCAATCCCTGGTTCCGCAAAAAAAAAAAAAAAAAAAAGAAAATTTACTGAATTATTAACTATTTTCACAGTTGACAATCAAGTTCATGCAAATATTTCTGTTCTAGAAGGTGTCCAAGTCAACCCAAAGTATTGAGTAATTTTGTGTACCAGACACTCTGTTAGATATCAGGACTCTAAGAATAAACAAGGGGGCCGGGCAGATGGCTCAGTGGAATAAGCACTTGCTTGGCAAGCACAAGGGCCTGAGTTCAATCCCTGGTTCCACCAAAAAAAAAAAAAAAAGAATAAACAATACATGAGTTTCATCCTCAAGGAGCTTACAGTGTGTCCACCTTTCTCCAGTTACCTTCAAGATTTTACTGTCATGATTGCTCAGGCTTCCATAGTAACAACTGTAGGAGTCCTCTCCAGGTTTTAGTCTCAGTGCAAGAAGTCAATATTTGTAATCCCAAAACTATGTCATTGGAATCCCACCAAGTTAATTCCAATCTACCACTCCCAGTGCAACCCACGGTGAAAGTAAAGGCACTAAAACATATGTATAATTATTGGGGAGCCAAGGGGCCCTAAGTCCAGCCATGAAGATGGCTCTCCAGAACAGAGAGCTGACCCAGGGTCTCACCTGGTTTTATTCAGTGGAGGAGTGGTTTGAGGAGGAATGACTGAGAATTGTGGGAAGTAGGTGACTCCTGTGAGCTGAGCTAGGTGGGTGCCTACATTTACCTCTGCCATATGCAGAGAGGATATGCAGAGAGAGTAATCTGCTTTATGCTATTGAGATAGTATCTAATGTTTTGGGGGTCTGGTGCTCAGCCAAAATGGAGACAGCCGCTCTTCTTTCAAGTACAGCTGCTCAGGTGGTCTTCCACAATGTGAAAGCTTGCGTATCCTTTGCCATGCAATGCACATATGCTATGTGAGTATTATCTATTGACTACCAAGTTGGTTATAGGTCAAGTTCCTGACATAAAGCCTTTTTTTCTCCCTTCCAGAAGTTTTTGGTTTAAATGAGATATGTACATTTAAGTAAGCTGATCAAATGAAATGATACACAAATATCAAGCTTCTAAGCTTAACTTCATTTCATACTTTTTATCAAACAGACCATCGTGACTAAGAATCTGCATTACCAAGATGGGTTTGATCTGAACAAGGGTGTTGAAGCAAAAATACACACAGTTTTATCAACGCATTGTACGAATGGATCAGAAGTTTACAGTTCATGGTCAGAAGCTACGTATTGGAAATCAGAAGAAGGTTAGAAAAAAATAACTCCTTTTTCACACTTAATACCACCGCAACAATCTATACAGGGAGTAATTCCTTTAACTCTATGTACCAGACTGTGTATATAATAGATGCTAGGACAGTGTGGTTCAAGATGAAATCCTTCTTATAGTGAGTGGCTAGACTTTTTTCATTCTTTGGATCAGCAAACATGTTTACTAAAACCTACATATTACTATAATAATATAGTTCCAAGTTTGGGGGTCATATTGACAAGACTGCATGAGTATTTACCCAATTTCTCAGAGCATCCTAGAATAATCAGTTTAGTACTTTAGCATAGACTAACTTCAGTGAATAAAACCTCAAAAATGTTAAGATTTGCATGTCTCACTTGTAGTGAAATGATTTTCAATGACTTCCTTCTGAAATATTCCTCATTATGTTGTTTGCTGAATGAAGTGGCCAGGCCAAAGGAAATAAAATAGAATTACGTAATGATTTCACAAGTGACTCATCATCATGACCCTCATATGTTTACTATTCATCCATTTCTTAGGAAGTCTGGAAACTAGAATTCAGGATATGGAGTGCATATATTACAACTGGCAGTTCTTACTGTGTTCTTGGAAACCTGGCATTGTTGTACACTCTGATACTAACTACAACCTGTTCTACTGGTAAGTATTTTTATACTTAGAATTCCATATTAGAAAAATATCTACCCAAATCAATGCATTGTGTAAATAGCTGTATTCTTACTAAATTAATTTCATTATATTTATTGGAGATGCATTTATGATGATGATTATAATTGTTTGGAGCTTTTTTTTTGGTGGAACCAGGGATTGAACTCAGGCCCTTGCGCTTGCAGGCAAGCACTTCTTATTCTACTGAGCCATCTCCCAGGCCCCTGTTTGGGGCTTCTAATGAGGGTAAATGGTTTTAGGCTGCAGGTACTGTAAGGCATTCTATGAATGATTAAGGAATGCAATCACTATTTCTGTCCTATACTCTGGTTTTTCTTCAGATCATATAAATCTTTCATCTTTTACTATTTCTGTCCTGGATTATGTTTTGATATTCTTTAGATGGATGGATTTATAAGAAGTACAAGCATATTTTCGTTTTTGCTTTTAAAAAGATAGATATCATTTGGGCCAGCTATGGTGGTCATGCCTGTAATCCCATCACTTAAGAGGCTGAGGCACCATGATCCCTGTGATTTCAAGGTCAGCCTGAGTTACATAGTGAGTTCAAAGCCAGTCTGGACTACATAGTGACCGCCTGTCCCAAAACCCCCCACCAAAGAAAAATGATTATCCATTAAGCTAGATCTTTTTTCTGACTCCCTACATTTGTTAACCAATTCTTTCATTCCTTAACTGTCTCATGGTAACACAATCACTATGCTCTGACACTCCTTTAGAAACTGGCACATCTGGGCTTTACTTCTTAGTATAAGAGTCCTGGAGGCTCCCCTCATTGCACACCTAGGTGATGGCCGTACCCTGGCAAACACTGTTCGCATGGCTTCCAGTCTCTACCCTTGCTGCTCATCTGGCATATTGTAATCAGCTTTGTCTTCCTACCTTGCCATTTTCACACACTATCTCCTTGTTCATATACCCCTAGTGTCTACATATCTCCAAGCCCCACTACCCAGGATCAAATCTAAGTTGCTACTCAAGTCTGTGCTGTGGTGTATCGCTCACTGCCTTCCCACCACTGCCGTCCACTAGCCCAGTGTGAGTGCCCCATACTCTTTAGATCCATCTCTGCATTTTTTATTCACTCATGTCATGATCTTTTATGTCTTGGTGTACATTCCATCTAGAAAGTCCTGTCTTTCTTTTACCAACATTTTTTTTTTTCCAGAACCAGGGATTGAACTCAGGCCCTTGTGCTTGCCAGCCAAGCGCTTATTCTACTGAGCTATCTCCCTGGCCCCTCTTTTACCAACTCTTAACCATCCTTCAAGGCCTCTCTGCTATCCTATTTTATTGACCTTTTTTTGATTCTGTCGACTTCTATTGTTTATTGCTGAACTATTACTTTTATAACTCTTAGTTATTTACCACTTAGATGGTATTTAAATGTATATGTGTGTGCTTTGTCCCTTTAAAGAATTGGTAGGCATGAATTTTTGGGGGTACTGGGATTCAAACTCAGGACCTTGCACTTGCCAAGGCAGGTGCTATGCCAATAAGCTATATCCCTGGTCCTGAACTTTTTTTATACCTCTACTGACTACTTCCAGAGTGCTATGCTCATGGTATAGTTTCACTAAATATGAAGTAAATGAATAGGACAAATGAAGATGGTATCGGTAAATCGATAGATAAGTATCAGAACGTAGGCATTTACTAAATAAAATATCAAGAGATGACGAAGTGTTACATATTTGTTAGCTTTCAAGCCCAAATTATCATGTCATTTTTCTTCAGACAATCACAATACATAAAAGACTAAGTATAAATTCTAGATACTCCTAAGAACTGGGCTCTAATGACTTCCCTAACACCATTTAATATGGTGGCCGTGGACAAGTAACTTGCATTTTGGCCTCTCAATTTCCTCATCTGGAATTGGGTAGGAAACTTCCAAAGGTCTCAATTGTTTGTTCATTAATTCAGCAAATATTAAGCAAGTAAAAAGATGCAAGTGTGAATAAGACAGAGTACCCGCACCCTCCGCCGTCATAGCTCGAGTCTAACATGACTTGATCCTCACTCAGTGAACTAAGAGGAAGGGCTGTGCACGTTTTGGAGCCTGGGGCTAAAGAGCATGCTGAGGCTTTCCACTGGTATGAAACAAATCTGTGTAAAGTCAAGCCAAGAAGTAAGTCTCCCAAACTGTGATCAGGTGAACTACCCAGAAGACTACAACTTTGTGAATTTGTCCAGAAATAAATACTTGGCATAAAGTTAATGTAGTAAAGTCCAGATATTTTTTATGAGCACCTGATATTTTGGCTTCACTGTAAAGAGGATGTTGGCTGATTTTAAAGCTAATGTCCCATTTTGCATTGTAAGCTGTTCTTTAGGGATATAAACCAAGCGTCTCTTTGCTTTGGAAATCAGTAAGGAGCCCCTCAGCCCCAATTGCCACTAGCCATATTACTGCAATGAGGTTAACTTTAAATGACAGGGTAAGAATTCTTGTCTAAACGAATAAAAAATAAGAGATTTACTTGCCAAACGATGTCTGTTCTTTCTCCCCCAATAATAATTACCTTTCTGCTATTTATACCTTGGTGTGCTTTGTATTCTCAGAGGGTTTTCATTCCATTTATTAAACATAACATTTCATGAGTCTGTTATTAAGTATGCTTTTTAAAAATAATTTTCCCAGTCCAATATTAAAAATGCAGTCACCATGTTCATTTACATAAGCTTTAGGTTTCCTTAGTAGGAAACTTAGTTTTATTCACAAATCCTTTTCTGAATAAATACAATGTAAGTACATGAATAACAATCTTTATTTTATCTCTGAGGTTTTGTGAAGCCTCTCATACATTGTGAACTCTGTGAAATCGTAGACCAGGTTGTATTTCCATAGTGTTGTATATATCCTTAGTACTTATACCATGTGACATATAGTAGATGCTCAATAAATATTCTATGTTATTGAAAAGTTATTTTTGCAAGGTATGCTAACATAAAAAAAATGGAGCATCATTATACTAGAAATTATGGGCAAATACAATTCTTACAGTATTTGTTTTTACAGGTATGAGGGCTTGGACAACGTATTACAGTGTGCTGATTACATCAAGGAGAATGGAAAAAATATTGCATGCAAGTTTCCAAACTTGGAGTCATCCGACTATAAGGATTTCTTTATCTGCGTCAATGGATCCTCAGAATCCAATCCTATCAGATCCAGCTATTTCATTTTCGAGCTTCAGAATATAGGTGATATAAACAAGCAACTTCAACTTCAAATTTGTCTTGGGGGGGGCTTCAGGAAGTGCAAAGCTAGGGGAGAAAAGGCAGTGTGCACGAGGAAGTACGGGTGATAAGAAATTGCATGAGGGGCAGGGGAGATGGCTCAGTAGAATAAGCGCCTGGCAAGTGCAAGGGCCTGAGTTCAATTCCCTGTTCTGCCAAAAAGAAAAAAAAAAAAGAAAAGAAATTGCATGAAATGTAAAAGTATCGTTTTATTTAGAAACTTATTTTCCAAGCCCCAGAGAGTTCTGCTGTGTGGTCCTCTCATATAGTTAGTGATGGGACAATTATGACCTCATTCTCAGGCCTCAGTAGGCAAATGGTTCTATATTTTCAGATCTATGTTCTCAGTTCTTTTTTTTTTTTTTTTTTTTTGTGGAAACGGGAATTGAACTCAGGCCCTTGTGCTTGCCAGACAAGCGCTTATTCTACTGAGCCATCTCCCTGGCCCCTGTGTTCTCAGTTCTGATAACGAGTGATAACTGAGACAGTTTCTAGAGTCAGCCAGTCCTAGGTAGGAATCTTAGAGCTACCATTCCAGTCATGTGATTTTGTGCAAGTTGCTTACCATGTCTTCTCAGTTTCCTTATTCATAAAATGAAGTGACTAGAGGACCACCTCATGGGTTTATTAGGAGACAGGTACAAGATTATGATAAGAGACCCTTGGCGGAGTGCCTGATGCATCATAAAGACAGCAAAAGGGTTAGCTACTAGCGAATGTAGTGATACTGACAGTGGTTGTTGTTTCTTTTTTTTTTTTTGTTCCTTGAACGCCTTCAGGGCACTTTTGGCCAGCGGGCGAGTTGTGAGGTTCGAACTCCAGCAACCTGAGGCTGACAGCTTTGTGGAAGCAGCCACTTAAAGGCCTGAGCTAGGGCCAGGCCCCCTTTTTAAGGATATTTATTTATTTATTTATTTATTTTTGGTTGTTGTTTCTAAAGCTACAAAACAGGAAAATGATTGCGATGATTTGTATCTTCTAACTTGGGCTTCAATATTTGTCATTATCGGACACAAAACAAGTTTCCAAACTAATCAGGTTTCTCAATAAGCTCACTTTGCTTGGTGAGCAACTTTGACTGTAGTACGTATCATGGGGAATAATCTTGAGTCATCTGGTTTACCCCTGGAGGTTTTAGTTACTAGGTGTACCTAGCTCTAGAAAAGGGGTACTGATAATTCCAATGACTTTCATGTTAAAATTATTTCTCTCTATTTCTTAGTTAAACCTCTGCCTCCAGAGTCTCTTAGTCTGACTGTGAAAAATTCATTTGAAATTAATCTGAAATGGAGCGTACCTAAAGGACCCATTCCAGCAAGGTGTTTTATTTATGAAATTTTGCTCACGGAAGCTGATGATTCCTGGATGGTATGAATATTGCATTTGTTTGGGAAAATCATAAGCATAGCCTTTTAAATAGGAAACTTGAGAATCATGATCAGTTGCTATCTATATGTGGAGTAGAACATTCGTTTATCTTAATAGCTTAACTTCCAGAAAGCCAAATCTAGTAGGCCAAAGTAAAGTGTCTCTGGTGTGAAAGTACAATCTGCCAATTTCAAAACTGCATAGGATCCTGGGCATAATCAAATCATTTGTTTCCAATTTTGTGTCAAAAAATAAACTTTCCCAGAGACAAAAATGGATCATGAAGAGGCCTCAGTTGCTGGGCATGGTTGCATGCATACACCAGCACTCTGGGAGGCTGAGGCAAGGGGATCACAAAGTTGAGCCCAATTGGACAATTTAGTGACTTAGTGAGGGTATGTCTCAAAATAAAAACGAAACCATAAAAGGAATTGGGAGACAGTTCAGAGTAGGTGCTCTGGGTTCAATCCAAGGAAGAGAGAGAGAGAGACAGAGACAGAGACAGAGAGACAGAGAGACACAGAGACAGAGAGAGACAGAGACAGAGACAGAGACAGAGAGACAGAGAGACAGAGAGACAGAGAGAGACAGAGACAGAGACAGAGACAGAGAGACAGAGGAGACAGAGACAGACAGACCTCAGGTAAAAACAAAACACAGAGCAAGAAGGCATGAACAAAAGAACCACTTCTCAAGGAATAACCTTGAGTTCAAAATTAGAAATGGCACTTACAAAAGAATTACTCTTAACCAGGAAGTGGGTTGGGAAGAAGGTAATGGTTGTAAGACTGATTACCCACAACACCACCCCGGTGGTGATGCCCTTAGTCTCACATTTTATGTTAACTTCATTATTGATTTCCAAGTTAGAGAGTGGAAAAGACAAGTGGTTGAGCCACCGGTTCTAATTAATTCATTTCATAGCAAATGAGAGAACTGGCTTTTGACTTGACTTGCAGGTTGGAGGGAAATGAAATAACTTCATAATTGAATTACGCATCTAGAACTAAAATTAAGATCTAACACTACAGGGCTGGGGCTATAGCTTGGTGGTCTAAGAGCCTGCTTGGCAAGCTTAAGGACCAAGGTTCAATCCCCAGTACCACACGCCCGTGCTGGCCCTGGAACTGGGCGTGGTGATGCATCCCTGTAATCCCAGTGCTGGGGAGACTGAGACAGGATCACTATGAGTCTGAGCTGTGTAGTGAGACCCTATACCAAATAAATAAATAAATAGAAATTTTAATGAAGGACCATTTTGTATCTGTATATTCAAAATAGGATAGATATACAGCTGCATTCTCTTAATTCAATGAAGAGAGAGGCTTTTTCTAATAGTGTTTGTAGACAGGATATCATGTCTGCATGTTGTACAATGAAAAACCACTAAGACAACAATATGCAGTGTATTAATTATTGAAACCGTGCTAATAATTGGTTTTGAAACTGTCTCATTGCTATTTGTTTCTCAATAAAATTATTTTAAAAAAAGAAATTTTAAAAAGATCTGACACTACAATATGGTGGTTCCAAACATAAGTTATAACAAACACAGCACTATTATTTTGAATGAGAAAAATTAGCTCTTTGAAATGAAAAATTTAAGTAATTGCTTCCGTGAATTTTTTTTTGTTGCTTTGTGAAATCATCCAGATTTGTGATATTTTGATACCCAGAGTGGTAATTTTGTGCCAATCCATGAGTGCTATTATAGAAATCTTACAAAGATTACCCATAATAACAATAGTGGAGAAAAGAACTTTATGTACATGGCTTCCACGGTTTTCGTAGAAATAGAATTCACATTATTGTGAACAGAACTATAGGTTCTGGGCCAGGGAGATGGCTCAGGCTCAGTGGAATAAGCGCTTCCCTGGCAAGCACAAGGGCCTGAGTTCAATCCCCGGTTCCGCCAAAAAA